TGTTCAGCATCTTAGCTGTAGAGGGCAGTGTCACTGGCCCTCATATGTGGGATCCGAACCAGGGCCCTCTGGCATCCCAAGCCAGGTCTTAACCACCGCGCCACTCGGCCGGCCTTTCTTTTGCTTTTTAAAAACACAAAGTACTAAGTAAAAATAAAAATTCCAACAAAATAGAAGAATTAGGGATATGCTTCAGAAAAAATTTTTACCTAATTCTAGTTGGCAGAGTCTACCTCTGGATCCAAATTTCTTTTGGAGAAAAATTTGAGAAACTGTTGAACATTAATGTAAATTTTGCTTTGTAGCCCATTTTGCTAAAGTGTTTGTGTTTCAGTATAAAAGAAGTTCAGAAGTGCTTGTCTGTTATTTCACCTAAAGTTCATTTAAATATTTATGTTTCAGGAAAATGAGCTATCTGTGTCTAGGGCCTTTCCTGAACCCTGTAGTTTTCTTTCTTCCTTTCTTATCAGCAGGGCTACTGGAGGTTTGTTCTGAGAAGCTCAGTTTAAGGAGATCTGTGATATTGACTGATGGGATTTTATTTGAGCATTCTAATCTGAATATTTTCCATTCCTTTTTTGTTACTTTTTGGACTTTGTTTTAAAGTTGATTTGGAATTACATATTAGAAACTACTGGCAAGATAATTGCATACTAATCTCTTCCTCTTTCTCATTTTCTCTTAATCAGAAAAAGAATAAACCAAAGGAACCACCCAAAGTACCCAAATCAGCACCATTTTTTATACCAACAGTTCCTGGCCTTGTACCCAGATACTCGGCTCCTGAACAAAATAATGATCCCCAACAGGTAAAATCCAAATTGGAGCATTCTTAGTATATGGTGTGTGTGTTTTGTAGTTCTTTATTATACATTTGTTATAAATTATACATTTGTAGTTCTTTTTTTTTAATTTTTTATTATTGGGGAATTGGGGGAGGGTAACAGCACTGAGGAATTGGGGGAAGGGGAACAGACGAGTTGCTGTCCTTTTGTTCTTCAGTCTAGTTGTGGAGGACGTTGCTTCACTGGCCCAAGTTGGCACCATCATTGCGCTCTTCCTGGGNTATATATATATATATATATATATATAATGTATATTTGACATTCAACATCATTTTACATTAGTTTCAGGAGTATAGCGCAGTGGTTAGGGCATTTGTATAATCTATGAAATGATCTCCCCGATAAGTCCAGTACCCATCTGACATCCTACATAGTCTTTACATTATTGATTATATTCCCCATACTGTATTTCACATCCCTGTGACTATTTTGTGACTACCAATTTGTACTTTCTAATCCCTTCACCTTCTCACCCATTCCCCAAACCTCTCCCATCTAGCAACCATCAGTTTTTTTCTCTGTATCTATGAGTCTATTGTTGTTTTGTTTGCTCATTTTTTCTGTTCATTATATTCCACTATAAGTGAGATCATATGATATTTGTCTTTCTCAGTCTGACTTATTTCTCTTAGCATAATATCCTCTAGGTCCATCCATGTTGTTGCAAATGGTAAGATTTCATTCTTTTTTATGGCAGAGTAATACTTCATTGTATAAATGTATGACAATTTCTTTATCCAATCGTCTATTTATGGGCATTTCAGTAGTTTCCATATCTTGACTATTGTGAATAGTGCTGCCATAAACATAGGGGTGCATATATTTTTTTGAGTTAATGTTTTGGATTTCTTTGGATAAATACCCAGGAGTGGAATTGCTGAGTCATAAGTTAGTTCTATTTTTAATTTTTTGAGGAACCTCCAAACTGATTTCCATAGTGGCTGCACCAATTTGCAGTCCCGCCTACAGTGCACAAGGGTTCCCTTTTTTTCCACATCCTCACCAATACTTGTTTGTTGATTTACTGATGATAGCCATTCTGAAGGTGTGAGGTGATATCTCATTGTGGTTTTAATTTGCATTTTCCTGGTGATCAGTGACATTGACGATCTCCTCATATGTCTATTCACCATCTGTATGTCCGCTTTGGAGAAATGTCTCTTCATGTCCTCTGCCCATTTTTTAATTGGGTTGTTTGTTTTTTGGTGTTGAATTGTATGAGTTTCTTATAAACTTTGGATATTAACCCCTTATCAGATATATAATTGGCAAATATCTTCTCCCATTCAGTAGGCTTCCTTTTGTTTTGCTGATGGTTTCCTTTGCCGTGAGCCTATTCCTTTCTTGAATACACACTAATCTTCAGCCACCTAAGCTGCTTACGTGAGGTTCTTGAGAGGTGCCCATAGCTTTCCTACTTCTGTGCTTTTCCTTATGCTCTTTGCTCCACCTAGGATGCCCTCCTTGCTAATCTCCAAGTATAAAAGGAGAAAGCATTGCTTCTGGAATGTGCCTCACCCTCTGGCAGGCCTGATGGAAGCTCTGGAGTCCTTTCAGCTTTGAAATGAGGGTTAAAAAAAACGCACAGCTCAGTAGGGCTCATGGAAAACGCCACACCCGCAGCAAGTTCTGTTGTTATCGTCCACAGGTGATTGCATGTCTGTTGGACACCTCCTTGTGCTGTCTGTCTGTGCAGTGTGCTGTTGAAGAAAACACCTTCATGGAGGTGGAGAGTAAATCTATGTCCTGGGGTCATAGGTGATAGTCAGAAATAATCTGGCCCACGTTTTTTAGAAACTGCATTTTTTTTCATTTCAAAATATATGTGTTTGTTTCCACGTAAAATAATGCATATATTTTCAATTGGTGTGTGCCACGACCCATTTGGTGATCAGTGATTGGTCTGTGGGTATGTGATGACATGTGGAATGCTCCCAGGCAGGTTGCCTCCAGTTTTAAGCAGAGCTGTACAGTTTGTACAGTACATTAGCCCCCCCTTTATCTGCAAAGGATATGTTCCCAGACCCCCATGGAAGCCTAAAACCATGAATCATACCAAACCGTATATATAGTATTATTTTTTACTATCCATGCATACCTATCATAATGTTTAATTTATAAATTAGGCACAGTAAGAGGTTAGCAACAATAACTAATAAAAAATAGAACAATTATAACAATATACTGTAATAAAAGTTATGTGAATGTGGCCCCTTTCTCTCCCAAAATATTTGTCCTGTACTCATCCTTCTTGTGATGATATAACACAACGCCTACATGATGAAATGAAGTGAGGGATTCAGAACAGCAGGTAATTTAAAACTTATGAATTGTTTATTTCTGGAATTTTCTATTTAATATTTTCAGACCATGGTTGACTGCAGGTAACTGCAACTGTGGAAAGCAATACTACAGATAAGGGGGGACTACTCTACAGACATGTGCTCAATGTATGTCACCGCTTTCTATTTGCCAGCATGTGACAAACATAATGGGCCCCTGGCCCATGTCCTGTTTCCTGCAGTCTTGCATGTAAGAAGCATGTCTCTACCAGGTCACTTGCGGACAGAAAGAGCTGGATTGTTCCTTACCTATGAATCCCTTAGTATTGGCAGGCAAGGTGGCCTGAGCACCTGCTCAATGAATATCTGCTTCAGGTAACTGAGATGAATGAAGAAGAAGGTGAATCAACTGAATCAGACCCCTCATTTCAAAGCTGAAAAGATCACGGAGCTTCCATCAGGCCTACGAGAGGGCTAGGCTCGCTCCAGAAGCAATGCTTTCTCCTTTACCTCCCCTTCTTCCTTTCTCCCTGTGGGCCTGCATACTAAACGTTGACACTATTATTTATGTAAATGAACATAAGCTAAGAAATTGTGAAAGGAAAGGAAACAATACTATCCTGAGGAGATCAGTAGATCTCTGAGGGTAAGCATCGTATCCAGATGCTGCTGTGCCCCATGGGTCTGGAATTTGGAACTCTGAGGACAGCGGTGCTGCCTGCCTGGTACTGGTGCCTTGGGAACTTGCAGGAGGTGCCACAAGGAGACAGGATCAGATCTCTAGGGAGGAGGCATTGGCCAATGGATGCTAGTGCCTCTGAGTGAATGCTATGAGGTTATGAGATTCTAGCAGCCTGAAAAAAGTGTAAACTAGAATCAGCTATTGCTTCTGGAGTAAACTGCTACTCCTGGATCGAAGGATCGAAGGTGTGTTGCTGGGGAGCCACTGACTTTAACAGGAAGCAAATAAAAAAGAAAATGTTTCTGGGCCGGCCGAGTGGCACGTTGGTTAAGAGCTGGCTTGGGATGCCAGAGGGCCCCGGTTCAGATCCCACATACGAGGGCCAGTGACACTGCCCTCTACAGCTAAGATGCTGAACAACAGCTCAACCTGGAGCTGGGCTGCCCTGAGTCATCAGCGACGGCGNTCACGGCAGCCCAGCTCCAGGTTGAGCTGTTGTTCACCATCTTAGCTGTAGAGGGCAGTGTCACTGGCCCTCATGTGGGATCCAAACAGGGGTCCTGTTGCTCAGAGCTGGCATCCCAAGCCAACTCTTAACCAACGCGCCACTCGGCCGGCCCCACATTTGTAGTTCTTTACACATATAAATTAATGATAGCTTTTAATTATAAACTAAACTTTTTTGGTTAAACTTGTGTTCTTTGAATAATGTGTATTTGTTTTTGTTTAAGTCTAAAGTGGTAAATCTTGGAATTTTGGCTCAAAAATCAGATTTCTGTTTGAGACTCGAAGAAGGATTGGTAAATAATAAATGTAAGTTATAAAATTATAAATATTTTACCAAATATCTTCATCTTATTTTACTTTATATAAAGAGAAATTGAATGACATATTAGCAGATTTGTTAGTAGCTGAAAGCAGATAGGAAAAACTAAAAGGATTGAAATTTTGGTTTTACTCTGAAGTCATTTTAGCTTTTGTATTGCTATTTTAAATGAGTGACACTAAACTCAGATGTTATTGATATTATAATTATCTTTTGAAAATCTTTCACACTTTCTGTAATGGAAGTTAGACTTCAAGTTTTTGCTTTTGTTTTTATTTACAAAAACAGTTTGCAATACAGTTTGCAATGTAGAGAGACTTGTCTTAGGTGATTTCAGGTATTACCAAATTATTCCATAAAAAGACAGTTTTAAAATTTTGAGTGTGTTAATAATAGATTTGAATTTTGAAAGCTACAGTCTGTAGCTAATAATGATAAATAGTAAAAGCTATAAGCAATAAACAAAATCGCAATCACTGTCCTGTTTTTGATTTACCCTCTTGTTTTCTGATGCAAATGCTTTTGTTTTCATACCAGTTTCACTCAAGTCCACATTGACAAAGCCAAAGAATGGTGCTGATGGGCCTGTGTAGATGACTGAGGAATAGCAGGATCATAAAAGGAGTAGCTTGTTTTATTTGTGGGGCACGAAGAAGAAAATCACTATTGTTTAGAACATACTGTAGGACAGAAAGTAAAATTTATTAGACTTTTGTCATTGGTGGTGTTCCTTTTCAAAAAGCTAAAAGGATACTCATTGCCATTGTAATATGAAGTGCCTCATATAAAAATAGTTGTAAGTGTATAGAATATCGTGGGATGAGTATGAAATAAGAGTGTTTTACTTCTAGAAAAGAAGGGCATTTGGGATGGGTAGGAATAAGATGGGGTCTTTTCCCTTACATATTTCTGTATTGTTAATGTTTCTTTTTTTTTAAGATTTTATTGGGGAACTGGGGGAGGGGAACAGTGTTGGGGAATTGGGGAAGGGGACCAGCCAAGTTGCTGTTCTTCAATCTTCATTGTGGAGGGCACCAGTTGCCATCTGGATTCCCATCGGCAGCTCGTGGCCTCTAAGCTCAAGGTGCTGTGTTCAATCTTAGTTGCAGGTGGGCGTAGCCACCATCCCACGAGGGAGTCGAACCCGGCAGCCTTGTTGTTAAGAGCGCACGCTTTATCCACTGAGCCATCCGGGCGGCAGCTCAGCTCAAGGTGCTGAGTTCAGTCTTAGTTGTGGGTGGGCGTAGCCACCATCGAACAGGCAATCTTGTTGTTACACCAGCTGAGCCATCCTGCCACCTGTTGGCAGCTCAGCGACAGCTCAGCTTGGGCGCAGTGTCACTGGCCCATGTGGGAATCGAACCAGCAGCCCTGTTGCTCAGATCTTGTGCTCTTAAGCCAACTCTTAACCAGCTGAACCACTTGGCCGGCCCCTTGTTAATGTTTCTTAATGAGCATGCGGTACTTTTATAATTTTTATAACAATACAAAGAAAGAAAAATAAATTTCCCTACCTCATTATATTTCAGTTGGCAACTATTAATAATTTGGTATGTACTTTCTATAGCTTTCTTATATTTATATTTGTTCTGATTTATTTATGAGCATTTAAAAGTGCCTGTTGCTGGGCACTAATTAGATTTTCTTTAACAGCCTTTAACAGAAAATTATATTACAAGAAATGTAAAAAGTTTAGTACTTTTAGTACTTTTAATTATGTTGCTCTCATCATTTGTACTGATTTTTACTTAATTTGGGGTTTATTCTACTATTGGATTGTCGGAAAAGTCACGACATATTTTTTCTGTTTTTTGTTGCAAAAATGCGTCATGAGTTTTCCAACAACCCAATACTTAACAGGAAAAAATTAAGCCACAGAAAGAATTTCCTGTGCAGTTTGAATATGTGTTGCTTGGGCTATGAAATGAAAATTGTAGTTTCCTAAGAGAAGTGATTGTAGGTAATAACTGGATTTTTTTTTTTAACTTAATGCAGATGAAGCTGCTCTTAACCTTCTGAAAGAATTAGGCCCATCAGGAATTGAAACAGAGCTTCGAAGCTTGTCTCCTGATTGTGGGGGATCTGTAGAAGTTATGCAGAGCTTCTTAAAAATGATCGGGATGATGTTGGACAGCAAGCGTGATTTTGAGTTGGCCCAGGCCTACCTTGCATTGTTTCTAAAGGTAAGTTTAATGTAAGACAGTACTTCCCAGCTTGCCTTCCTCCAGAGTAGTGTTGTCTGATGGAACTTTCTGCAAAGATGGAAATGTCCTGTATCTACACTGTCCAATATGGCAGCCACTTGTCATATGTGGCTACTGAGCACTCGAAATGTGGCTAATGTGACAGATAAACTGAATTTTTTTATTTTATAGAAATTTAATTAAGTTTAAATAGTCTCCTGTACCTAGTGACTACCATTTGGACAGCTGGACCATGGAGCAGCTGTGTAGTCTTTTTTTTTTTTTTTTCACTCAGCACATTTTGACTCAACTCCCTGACTTTTCTGGGTCATCTGTTTGATTCAGTACACTAAACTATTAACTTTGTAAAAGGTAATTACATTTTGGCATTTTTTTTCTGTGATCATGAAGAGACAGTTAGGTTTTATATTTATTTTTTGTTTTGTTTTTCTACTGTTGAAATCAAAGTATTTACTTCTATGTTGGTTCAAGGAGTTTCAAGCAATTTGGCAATAACACAGCTGATTTTATGACCAATACAATGGGGATCTCATGTTGATTTCAAAAGTATAATGTATTGAAGGAGGTCGATGATGCTGATTTTCAATGATGTGATTCTTCATCTCTCCCATTAATATGTAAAATGAGTTTTCACTTGATTTAATTATTTAGATGGTACCATGAAAAACTAGAAATGCCAAAAATTGTTTCTATATCCTTTCACAAATTTACCAAGATTAGTCCCTGAATATAAAGCAAAGAGCCCATTTGGCTTTTATTACCAGTGGGTTACAGTGAACGCAGAACCTTAAAGAAGCACAGAAATAGGGAGTTAGTGTTAAAACTATATCCTTGTTTCTGAATTGGTATCAGGACTGTCCTTAGGAGGAGGACGGTGATGGCAACTTCAGTTCTTCTAAGGGAGTGACAGTATCATAAAGGAACTCATAATAATAAAAAAATGATAGAGGAGAGAGAATGGGAGATGATGGTAATAAATCAGGATTTAAGAAAAAAATATTCAGTGTAGTGTCTTGTCTTCTCGTGTTCCTTGGTAAAAAAGTTGAATCCAGAATAAACAAAATTTTAATTTTCTTAAATTGAATGTTCAACTACCATATTTTCTTTTCAGTTGCACCTTAAAATGCTTTCTTCAGAGCCAACACTTCTAGAAGAAATGACAAAGTTGTCATCACAGCTGGAAGAAAACTGGATCTATTTACAATCACTGTTCAATCAAAGCATGTGTGTTTTAAATTATATAAAAAGCGCTTTGTTATAAAAATAAATGTAAGTGAGTAAATAAATTAAAGACATTTATATTAGGTGGGTTCATTTTGACTCATATTTTGTTTTCCAAGTTTCATTGTGAAAAAAAAAATAGCATTACTGACTAGTCCGTCATTCCCCACTTTAAATGCTAAATACTTTCTTGAAATAAAATTACACCAGCCTTTTGTTTAAAAGACTAAAAGAATCTACTTAAATGATTTATTTTCTGAGTCTCCTCACATAGTTTATACAAGACTTTTTTTGAATTGTCATCACCAACTCATGTTTTTTGAATATTTTGTAGCATATAAGAGATGCTGGATGCTTCCTGTAAAGTGTTGGTTCATTATATTGAAGATAAAACTGGTATATAATATAGTTCTAAAAGTGCCTTCCTGATGTGAAGTAGAAAGGCATGTTCCCATCTTGGTGGCCTTGGGTGAAAACATGGATCACTGACTTGCAGAGCTGGCAGCTGTGTGAAACAGCACAGCCCTCTTGTAATGCCGAAGCAGCAGCTGCTACGTGAGGTCAGCTGGGGATCTCGGGGAGCCAGCCTGGTTTCCTAACGCTGCTCTAGTGCTCGCTCTGCGTAGCCTTCCTGAAGGAACCTTGTTCTTTTTTCGGGAACGTGAGAGGCACTTTTAGAAGGCAAATTGCTATGGGAGACAGTTGAACAGATAGACATCTAGGATAGGTGAGGGAAACACTGAATTCTGTTGAAGGTATCCTTTAAAGGCTGTCCTAATTTTTTTATTTGGCAAGAAAGTACTAGACTGTACTTTTCTCTCATAACCATTGTGAAACCAGATAGCTCTGGAAGTTCCTCTTTTCTCATCACTGTTTTCTTTACATGGTCAATCTTCAGCAGCACTTGGATTAAAAACAAGCAATTCTTAAAAACACAGTGCTCCAGAAACAACTTTTAGTTTATGCACTCAAAAGCAGTGTCATTCAGAAAACTCAGCTGGCTATGTTTGAATGCCAGTGTCATTCTCATTAGGATATAAAGGTTTTGCAGAATAATCTCCAGAATGAACAAGTCTCACCAGAAGTTGTCAGTGATAATTTTGAATTGTAAATATCCAAGTGTTTAATGTGTAAGGTAGAAGTAGTAAACTGCTAAAGGAATAAGCCAGTCTGGTTTTGTACCCTCAGTTTTGTTTTTCTTTTAAAAGTGTCTATAAATTTAATGAAGCCACTGACTGAAATGTTGATAATGACTTAAGTTCTAACTTCAAAAATTGTATATCCCTCTGCCCCAAATACTATATTCTAAAGATGTGGCAAAATTCCAGTATNCGGTGCTTCTGCAGCTGGGCATCTTGACCACCACCTTCACTGGAACAGATTCTGCACAGCACCTCCTCCACAGCAATGCCTTACAGTCATATTGTCATGTGGGTGCATCCAGTTGGAACAGTCTAAGGCTTGTGCCTGAACCCAAGTCATGAGGGAGGCCAAGAAAGTGAGGTTCTGGGTCCTATGATGCTGGAACTTTGAGTGGGAAATTCTCCAAACATAGAAAAAGTGTTCACAAGGTATTTTGAGTGAAAAAGTAAGACAGACATCCCTATAGTCCTCCCCTTGGCTGTCTAACACACACCCTTCTTCTGCACGTAAACTCCCCAGCAGCAATAACAGCAGCAACAATAATACAATACTATCTTTCATACAAAAAAAAAATACACTCACCCTCTTCCCTCTTACCTGATAGTGACAATAATCTATTGTTAAAAATTATTTCAGGATTACATAACAGAAAATCACAACTAATCATGATCTCAACAAATGGCCAGGTCTTAATTTTCTTATACATCAGAAAGTCTACTGGTAGGCAGTTGTTCACATTGGGTCACTTATTAAATGATGCTGTAAAGGACATAGGATTTTTTTCTGCCTACTTTTCTTGCTTCATTTTTATGACAGGGACAGAGATCCTCATGTCTGCCATTTTGTGGTGTTAAGATGGCTGCCAGTAACTGTAGACATCAGGTCTTATCAAATCTCCCCAGACCGGGAAGAAGGAAGGGAGACAAAATTGTTTCTCCCCCTGAGGCTTGGTTCTTTTAACTGGAAACATCCTCAACTACCACCCAACAGACTACTCCCTAAGTCTTACTGGGTAGAACTGGCTCACATGACTAACATTTGGTCAATCAGTGATAAGCAGAAATGATGACCTTAGACCAAACATGATTTATCCCCCATGGCTGGGGAAAGACAGTAATGGCCACGATTGAAACATGAAATTGGGATGCTGTTAGAAGGGAAGGAATGGTAGACATTGCTGTTACATTGGAAAAGGGCACCGTCTTTTGATTTATAATACCAAAAAACAAACAAAAACTCCTACACCATTCATTGTCTACTAGAAATTGTTTTTATTGAGTTATGGTTAAACATTATTCAAATGAAGGAAATTTGGTGTATAATTTAACAATGGTTTAAAATATTTTAGCATGAAATGAAAATGCATTGNAGAAAAAACCCTACTCTTTTTCTTGGAAGACACTGCCTCTTCCATTCTCTGGACGAAATGTGTTGGTGCTAGATGGCCAAATTTGGGAAAGCCAAGGTGAGGAATCAGCCTTGCTCTAGCTGCTTGTTAGACATGGCTCACAGCTGAGGGTCACTCTCAGGGGACTGGGTGCCAGTGTTAGCTGTTGGCACACTGGACATAGTCTAACCCGATGGGAAGGTGGAGGCAGAGGACAGGATGAGTTGTTCATGCCTGTTGCTGTGGTGTCAAGGAGGTGAGGTGAAGGGCACTGCACAAACCAGGACTGTAACCCGTGAGGAAATACTGGATGCTTGTGGGACCCATGTGCTTCTCTCAGCCCATTCCCTTTCTTCAGTGCTTCATTTGTGGGGTTTGACAAGTTGTTGGAGATACCAATGCAAATGAGACAAGGTATCTGACCCCGAACTCTAGGAGATGAACCATACAGGAGAGGTAGCACAGCATTTGCTCTGTGGAGTCAGGGAAGGCTGCGTGGAGAAGAGGATAACTGCCATGGATGTTGAAAGAGAGGTGGGTGGCCAGGGATGGGGTGAGGGTGGTGGAGGGGTGCTGGTGCAGAGAGAGACAGAATTCAGAAAGCAGAGGGAGATGAAAAAGGCAGTGAAAAGTCTAGTGGGGCTAAATGCGTGCTGGTTGTTACCTCTGGGGATGTGTGGAGGTCAGTGGTCCATGAACTGGATATGAAGGAAACTAACTTTTCTACATTATTTCATGGCAATTTTTTTTTTTACATTTAGACAAAATAGGATAAAATATTAATAGCTGTTGAAGCTAGGCATTGATACACACACACGCATTCCAGTACTTCTTATAGTTAGTTGTTTTTACCCTATTTGACTTTACTTTTCACCTTTTTCATTAGTTTTTTTAAATAAAATTTATTTATATGTATCTCCCCATCCATATGTACATACATCCTATTATGTACACTTATTCTGTGTGTCTGCCCAGAATTTCACCTCCCCTTGGAAGAAAACCCCTAGAAGCCATACTGTGTTTATTGCCCAAATCACTGAAACTTCTGAGAAATCTCCAGGTACCCTGATGACACACGCTTGGATATGAGTTACTAACATTTGCTCTTTGAGAGGAGCAGATGGCCTTAGGTCTTGTTTTCTGTCTGCACTATGCTGACATGAGCTGGGAGGCAGGAGACCCATGGAAGTGGCCATGAGTCACGCTTTACTGAGCCTGGAGCTCCTCCAGGAAGTGGTGGGAAGGGCAGCTCTTGGCAGGAGAGAGCCTCACTTAAATGGTGTGGTACATACCTGATGTTTCCCATAAAGCCTGAGGAACACTGGGGTGGAGAGTTTCACTCTACTTGAACAATAAATATAAATAATCCACTTGATTCCACATGAACTAAATGACAAAGAGAGATATACAGTCTCACATTAGCTTATCTCTTTTCCCTTTACTAGAGCCCAAAGAAGTAAATTACCATTCCCCTTGCTGCTGGGAAATGACAGTCACTTAACAAATATACCACACCTTGTATCACTTGAAACCAATTTATCTTAAAAAAAAAAATACTAACCTTAAAAAGTATTTATAGTGTCTTTGAAACAAAAGACCTTTTTGTTGTTTTTTTCCTTATAGTTCTTATGTAGCAAAGCCTCTGAACAAATAGCATTGCCCAGAGGCACTTAAGGTAAATTCAGATCATATGTTCTGTCTCTCATTGTTTTCCCACGTCTCCAAAGGGCTCAGCCTGGTTGGTCTCCTCTTCTGCCAACATGGCAGTCACATTCCCGTGACAGTGCCTCTGCTTGGGCTGTTACCCTCAGCTGAACTTCCAAATTTACTATAGAGTCCATTTCAGTGTTGGGCATATAAGTGTTCAATAAATACCTAATTCCATGGTCTTCATAGAATGATCCAGTGTTCTCCAGGGGTCCCTGAAATCCTTTCAGAGGGTCTGCAAGATATTGTGAAAAACCATTTTCATAATAAGATTAAGAAGCTATTTGACTCTTCTTTGATCTCAGTACTTCAAATGCAGGCAATATCAGTAGGTGTAATCTATATAACCAAAGCTTGGTGGAGTTCTTAATAATTTTTAAGAGTGAGGGAGAGCTGACACCCAAAATGCTGAGAATTACTGCCCTAATTGATTGGTTAAAGAAATACATAACCTCAACAAGAGGCGCCAGTATATGCCTTAAAATCTGATGTCCCCAAATAGGGAATATGCGTCAGATCTTCCGAGAGGGCCAGTTGAGCCAGGGTGGCCCTCAGGCTTTGAGATCCCCTTCAGCCTCAGATTTAGTTAGGATCAAGTGGCCTATTGAGTTCAGTTAGGACCAGACTGCAAACTTCGGGCTCAGATCATGAAGGAATAATAAATCAAGAATGTTTAAAGTGTTAATATCATGAAATGTATCAGTCTAGGTGTTTAGAATCAGTCTCAGCTATTTTCAGCAGAAAATAAATTTATTNACCCTAGGAAAGTGTGCAACGTGAGCCAAGACAGGCAGTTTATATGAGAAAGCCACTGGAAGTGGCTGGAATGTGCCCAAAAGTTGGGCGGGTCAGGGTCTCAGAATCACTAGGGCATGGTGAACCAATGATGTCAGCCAGCTTGATGGAGGTCAGATATGGTGGCCACCTGTGCCTGCACACTGGGAAGGTAGAGGGCTCAACAAAGAAACAATGGCTTCCGCCAGGTCCTCTGTCCTGGGAAAAGCTGCCCCTCCAGTTCTCGTCCTGAAGTCAGACAACTCAGTTCCCTACCATATGTTCTCTAGCTGCTGCCGCAGCACTGGAGCTCAGAGCAAGTGATTCCAACTATGAGTAAGTCCGGTGCAGTCTTTTTAAGAGGAGCACCTGGGAACTCCAGCCGCCCTCCATCTCACTCAGTCACAATCTCTGCTGGCTTTCACAACCATAAGTTATGGGGACTTCTCTCCCTGGCACTGGAACCCTGGGCTGGGGAGGGACTGGGACTCCTTGCCCCTTGCGGGGGGACCTCTGCAGCTGAGATATCCCTCCCTATTTTTAATGGTCACATGTGGATGTGGAACCAGCCTGTTCTGTGTCTCTGCCTCCTGCTAGTCTTGAGGTGGATTCTTCTGTATGTCTTTAGCTGTAGGGCTTCAGTTCAGCAAGATTTCTGGTGATTCTCAATTACAATTGTTTTGTAATTTAGTTTTAATTTTGATATGGTCATTAGAGAAGGTAAGCATAGCATTTACCTAATCTGCCATCTTGACCAGAACGTGTGAGGCTTCATTTTCTATCCAATATTCATATTTCATTTAATTTTTTTGTTAGGATTACTTTAACTATGATCTAGTGCTAAATGTTGGATACTAGCATTGCTTAGCAGAAATTTTTGACTGACTTTAATGGAAATGCTTTTAATGTTCCACCATGAAGGATAATGTATGCTCTGAATTTCTGGTAGATACCCTTTGTTAAGTTCTATTTTATTACTAATAGACTACTTTTTGAATTAGAGGTAAGTAAAGAATTTTATAAAGAGATTTTTCATCATGTATTAGAAGATCAATATCTTATTTTACTGGTGTAATTTAGCGAGTTTTATTCAAAGATTTCTAATATTGAATCATTTTAAATTCTTTGGATAGAACTAATTATAAGTAAAATGAAACTGGTGCATTTGTCTATTTCATGGAATTATCTATCCTTGATCTATATTTTTAAAACTAGCCTACTCAAAGGGGAAAAAATGGTGTTGCATAAAGTCTTTCTCATATGGTGATTTTTGCCTCTTGAAGTTTTTCTGTTTACTAAACTAATTGGATTTTC